AATGCCTGAAGCCTCTCTACAACTATCAACATTTGTCAAAGTTCATAGTTTCCAGAGGCATGTTGTTTAGGAAGTGGATGCCACTCCTGCATGTATGTGTACACATATGTATACACATGCATAAATGGGTACTCATATATACACAAACTTACATACACAAAAGAGGAGCCCAGGTGACCTAGTGATAAGAAGTTGCACAACCAACCCAAAGACCAGTTCAAGTCCATCAGCTGCTCCATGAGAGAAAGATGGCCAGCCTCTTCTCATGGGAACTAGTAACTCTGAAAATCGAGTTGAGGGTCAGTTATTACTAGGTTCCAACTCGATGGTACATAACAACTACAGTATACACATATTCACACACTCTCACACATGCATATGTACATACACAAACTCACATACATAAATGCACACTCACCACACAAATTTGCATACTTACATGCTCAAACCAACACACATAAAGTCACAGATGCACACACAATACTGAGTGTGCACACAACTCCCACTTGACCCCAATTTTCATCTCAACTGGAACTATCTCATGTGAGTTCTTACCTCCCCTACCATGTAACCTGGATGTCTCTCCGCCTGAAAGGGTACAGATTGTTTCTCTGTGCTCCCACTCCACTTTGAACAGGGGCTTCCAAGTTTGGGTCAAGGGTCATCTTGACAGGCTTGGCTGGAGGTGGCATGGAGGAGTCTGTGGAGGTTGGAGAATAAAATTAATGAAGCCCTCCTGGCATCTCTGGGAACTTCCAGGATACACTGCGAGCCTGCAGGAGGGTAATGTGAATAGTGGCAGCCTGTGCTTCAAATCCCAGGGTAGCCAGCATGGAAAGACACTCAGGGCATCTCCCACATGTTCAGTGGCGGTGGTGGTGGTGGTGGACTGTCAAGTTGCCTCGCCCAGTGTGCTGCTAACTCATATGTAAATGGCGTGACACAATAAGAGACTATCTCACCAAAGCAGCAGTGGCCAAGTTTAACAGGACAGCAGACAATAAATGTTGGAGAGAATGAGGAAAGATTGGAACTCTCACACACTGTTGGTGGGATTATAAAATGGTACCACCACTCTGGAAGGCAGTTTGGCATTTCCTCAAAAAGCAGAACATGGAATTCCATATGACCCAGCTATTCCACTTCTAGGAATATACCCCAAGGAAAACAGGACTGAGACACAAATGGAGATTTGTATGCTAATATTCATAGCAATGTTATTCACAACAGCAAGAACATGGAAATAGCCCAAATGTTTAACCATAACTGAATAGATTGAGAAATGGTGGTTCATTCACACAATGTAATACCAAGCAGCACTCAGGAGCAACAATTTTGAAAAATACTGCGTAACATGGGAGAGACTGGAGAATATTATGTAAAGTGAGCTAACTCAGCCTGATAAGGACAAATACCGCAATGCTGCATTATTGAAAAAACATAAGGATAGAGTAAGATATGCATAAACGTCCAAAGTGGAAAGGGGGTGAGACAAGGGGGCTGAGGGTGGAAAGGGGAGGAAATCACTGAGATGACAGAGTTTGGTGGATGGAGGGAGGGGGTGAAGGAATGAAAAAAGATACAATAGGAATTTGAAAAGATAGGGTGGTAGTGAGCACAGATCAATGGTGATTAAAATTAAGAGGGAATGTAAAGGAAAAGTTGATTATATGAAACAGAATACAATGTAAATGAAAGACTATATAAAGCATAATTAAATAAAATTCCATGATATTTATTCCCTTTTTATTGAAAAGAGTCTTCTAGAGTGAAGTACAGAATTGTTTCACTACTCTTTTTTTAAAGACTGACTTCTGGCACAAAGGTTAGACTCCACAACCCATAGAAACCCAACTCCTGGAAGCTGTCCAGCATACCACAAACCTTGGGTGGTGGTGAGGAGAGTCAGCCCTCAGCCTACCCGTGAGTGCACTGAGTCCTGTCCAATGTGAAAATCTAATTGTGAAGCATCCTGGCCGATTTCCCTCCCCCTTTGCTGACTGCAGTAAACAGACTTTTCTTCTTTCCTTTCATCTCCTTGGTCTGGGCTCTGCATCTGTCCCTCTGGCATTGTCCCACTAACAGCCATGCAGCCGGGGACAGCTCCAAGAGGAAAATGAAGGGCAGCATTTATGCCAGATCTACAGCCTCTACAACTGGCAACAATACAGTGTATATGTGCAAGTGCGTGAGTGTGTACAAGGGTGTATTCATATGTGCAAGCCTGTGAGTGTGAGTCTGTGCATGTATTATGTATAAGTATATTGAAAGATGTGAATTTGTGTAAACACATGTATGTGAATATGTGTATGTACAAATGTATGCATGTATGAGAGTAAGATTGTGTGAGTCAGTGTGAAAGGGTGTGAATATATATGCAAGTGTGTGGATATGTGTCTTAGCGTATGTGTGTATGTCGTGGGTGTATAGGTTGTGTGAACGTGAACATGTATATAAGTGTGTGTCTGAGTGCATGCATGTATAGGTGAGTGAAAATGTGTGTGTAAGTGTACTTGTTGCATGTGAGTGGGTAGGAGAGTATGTGTGCAGGAGGAAGATGGCAGAACCACTTCCATAGGAGTGTCCTCTGAAGTGGCCTGAGTCTGGCTGTAAGACTTAATGGCAATGCCCAGTTTGTTAACAGTGAAAAATTGGTAGATGAGCTATTTATCCAGTGTTATTACAACAGAAACACCACAAGTGAGTGACTTTGATAAATAGCAACTTCTTTTCTCTGTCTCACAGACTAGACGTCCCAACCCAGGAAACAGCCCCAGGGAGGGCTTTCTGTCAGTGTTGCTTTCAGGGTTGATCCATGCCTCTTTTCAGTCTCTGCATCTGTGTGACGTTGATGTGATTTGACTTTTGTCTTTCCCATCCCTGTTTCAATCACTGTCTAAAATTTTTGTATTTCAAAGAGATTGACTCAAATAACACCACATTAATCCTGCTGCTGTAACATAAATAAAGAGGACATTCCCAAATCAGACGATAAACACAGGCAGAGAGGTTAGAGCTTATGACACATATTTTGGGGAGATGTCATTAAATACATAATATTCCAGTCTTTGGCCCCCAAAATTTATGTCTTTGACACATAGAAAATAAATTGACCCCACCAAATCATTCTAAAAGTATTAAATCAAGTCCAAGTCCAAAATCTTATTTCTAAATCTTCTAAATCAAATCCAGTCAAGACTTTAGGTACAAAATTTCTCTTTACCTGTGAACCTGCGAATCCAGAATATAAATTATCTGCTTCTGATGTAAATTGTGGAATAAGCACAACGTGGAAATTTCCAATATAATTGAGAAAAATTGGAAAGAAAAAAGAATATAGGCACCTGTTGAGGTTGTTAGGTGCCATCGATTCAAGTACAACCCATAGCAACCTGTGAACAACAGATCTGAACCCTGTCCTCTCTTGCACTGTCCTCACACTCCCTGACACGTTAGAGCCCATTGAAGCAGTCACAGAGTCAATCTACATGGTCAAGGATCTTCCTCTCCTTCATCGACCCTTAACCTTTTCGAACATCATGTCCTTATACAGGGAATAGCCCCTCCTAGCAGCATGCCCAATGTACGTGAGGCAAAGTCTCATTGTCCTTACATCCAAAGAGCATTCTGACTGCACCCTCTCCACAATGTATTTTTTTCTTTTGACAGACCATGAGTTGTTCAGTACTCTTCTCCAACACCACAGATCAAAGACGTTTATTCTTCTCCTGTCATTCTTATTCACTGTTCAGCTCTCAGATGCATAGCAAGTGATCAAAAGACCATGGCCTGAATCAGACACACCTTAGTCCCCAAAGTGACTTCATTACTCCTCAATAATTTGGAGAAGTCCCTAACTGTAGACTTTCTAAATGCAATGTATCTCCTGATTTCCTGACTACTGGTACCAAGGGTGTTAATTGTGGGTCCAAGTAAAATTAAGTTGTTGGCAGTTTTAATGATGTTTCCTATTGGTCTAAGTAGTAAGAACCTTTGTTTCTTCACTGTTTCTCTGAAAAGTAGAGGAACACAGATAGTTATAGTCACCTTGCAGGCCCAAAACTCTACAAAACAATTCAAATTTTCTCTCAAAGTTTGGAAAAAACTCTCTGTTCTTTTGGAACCATCTAGGCAATGGCCTTGCCCTCTAGACTCTGGGTGTTGGCCATGTGCTCCAGATCCTACGCCTTAAGCCTCAGCTCTGCCTTCTAAGCTCACTGGGAAGCCCCATACTTCCAGTCCGTCTGAATGATGTCCTCCACTCCCTTAGCCCCAGGGGATCTCATTCCTCTGTACCTTAGGCATCCTTAGCTTCGGGCAACACCATTATCACCCTGGCACTCATGAAGAGCAACTACACACACTGGAACCAAGCTGGTAAAAATCTGAATCTTTTAAAACTATTAAGACCTTTGACATTATGCAGCCTTGCTTTCCATGTTACTTTCAATAGTCCTGGCATCTCTGAGTTGCTACAAGAATGGTTCTTCTCTTTTCTTGAAAGACAACAGATGTGGATCTTTTGGCCTATTTTCTGCCCGCAGAAGTCTGACAGGCAGACTGCTTTCTCTCCATTGATCCTTTCTCTGCCCCTTTCAATATAAGATGTAGGGTTTTCTGGTGTGATAGTTAATTAAAGCCAATGATGTCAATAGGCTCAATCTCTTTAATAAAAAACATGTCCCACAAAGAAGTTTCTCTTTTGCTTTTCAAAGAGAAGAGTAAACTGGGGAGAGAGGAGTAAAGAAAAAAGTGCAACAATGAATAAATGAAAATCCAAAATCTTTGTAAATGTTCATTAAAATTAATAAAATGAAATTAAAAAAAAAAAAACATGTCCCAGGTGAACATTTTGGGATACTGACCTTCTGCAGTAGAATTTTTCCAAATCTTTTTGTTTTGCTTTCATTTTTCACAGTTCACTTTTAAGTCCATCTCTTTGCTCTCACATTGCAGCAAAAATAAAACATGCGGACTTCCCTTGCTTCGAGAGTTTGGTCATGGCTGCATTTGCCGGTCCTGCGAAGCCCCTCTTGTCACTGAACCTGCAGGAACAGGCCAAATTTCAGAAACAGGTGGCACAGGTCCGCCAGCGCGCGATGCAGAAAGAAAAACTTACTCCTGGAGTTGTCTACGTTGGTCACATACCTCGAGGCCTTTTTGAACCCCAACTCAAGTCTTATTTCTCCCAGTTTGGCACTGTTACGAGACTTAAATTGTCCAGAAGTAAAAAGACTGGAAATAGTAAAGGTTATGCCTTTGCGGAGTTTGAGTCTGATGATGTTGCCAAGATCGTTGCTGAAACAATGAATAACTACCTTTTTAGTGAAAGACACTTGAAGTGTGATTTCATGCCACCTGAGAAGGTACATGAAGAACTTTTCAAAGATTGGGATGTTCCATTTTCAAAGCCATCAAATCCTGCAGTAAAACAATATAATAAACACCGAACACGTACAGAAAAGCTGCAGATGGAAAAGCGATTTAAACACAAAGAAAAATTACTAAGAAAGAAATTAGCCGATAAAGGAATCGATTATAATTTTCCTCCATTGGTTTTACCCAAAAAAGGAAAGATGTGTCACCAACAGTGATCTTCAGAACTGTGCAGATAGCAAGGACTCCACACCCGTCTATTTTGGAGAGACGAAAATCTGAAGTGGCTACGCTGAATGATAATGATGAAGATAATGAAATAGTGTTCAAACATGTTGTCAGTGTAAAAGAAGAAACACAAGAAACAGAAACACCTACACATTCAAGAAGTAAAAGAAGAAAGAACAAACAGTAATTTTTTTTAAAATCTTTCAACTTTTATTTCTAGGATACATTCATCTAGAACCTTATTTCTTTACAACAAACAGTAATTTTTAATGTAATATGAGTGTATTTGGAAAGAAAATGTAGTGGTTTTGTTACTAGGATTAACTCTTGACATTTTGCTACATACAGACGTTGGCACAGTGTTTGGAGGAAGAGCTTTCCCTCAGGTAAAGCATTCAGACCTGTTTATCCGTGGTGAGATGGAGGGGCTTGTGGTTGGCCAGTGCTGCCTCTTGGTTTGCTAGACTTCCCGTTTCCTTTGCAGTAGTCTTATTTGTCCTTAGATACTACTAGTGGCCAGCAGATAAATGTCTAAAGTTATTTCTGTGTACGTGAAGCAAGTAGTTTTTGCCTTTTCAGCTGTTGATTATGATTCCTTGAAATGTGTTTTTTGTGAGGTAGGTGCTGTCCAATTGGGTCCAATGCATAGCTGTCCTGTATATAACAGAGTAAAGTCCTGCACCACCCTTACAATCTCTGCTCTACTTAAACCCACTGAAGTCCATCGTCCTGAGGGTCTTCCTCTTTTTCATTGGCGTTCTGTTTATCCTTCCTTCTGAGAAGCACTGTGACTGCATTTCTACCAGGACAGATATGTTTATTTTGGTAAACTCTGGCGTATTCAATGTTCTTCACCAGTACTGTAATTCAAAGGCATTAATTACTTTATCTCCCTTATTCATTATTCAGCTTCTGCATGCATATGAAGTGGTTGACTTGGTCAGCACACTTTGGCCTTTAAGAGTCAATCTCCATAATAGTCTGTGTGTTTCCTACTGCCAAAGGGGCCCTTTAGAGTAGTGAGAGAAGATCTTCACCCTGAAACCCACAGCGTCCCTTTTCAGCAGGAAGTAGCT